AGTGTTGACGCCGGGATAGACTGGCCGATACTCAGGGCCTGAGGTGCAGTAATCATTCTTCACAAACTTCACAATACAAAAATAGTCCATATTTATTTTACAATATTTACAATTGCTATGTTACTACACCCATTCCCGATCTGTGGGCAAGGGGTGGGTGCCAACGAGGCGAGCGAGCGCGCGCGGTCTACACAGAGTCCGTCTGTGTAGACGATGGACCGTTTGGTTCGGCGGTCAACTATCGAACTGTTCTATTGCTGCTGCTGCTTCTGTTGCGGTGGAAGTGGGGTAGGATGAAAGAGGTACATCTATTTTCAGGCTATAGAAAGCACAGTACGTTCTACCCTGTATGTGCCTATGCGACCGGTTTGATCTGCTTGTGAGAAGTGTGGAAATGTCCCAGACGATGAAACTATTGTTTCTCATCATATGGACGTCGATCAGCTGTGTGCTGCATATAGCCGAGTTGGAGAGTAAGATCGATAAACTTTTCTGCACTATGGGCTCGGGGGTGACCATGGGGGTCAAAATATTATTAATCAAATGCGGTTCACGTTCGGCGTGAACAAGTAGCTTTAAATAAGAACTACTTTTAAGATAGCATAAATCAGTACAGTACTGAAGTGATTCCAAACTTTCCTATTGAAATGTAATGTCAGTACAGATAGATCTCGTTTTTGGAAACTAAACTACAGTGCACTCTTTACAACTCGATGTTCAAGGGACCATCGAGTTATATACTAACAATCCCATTCAAATTCGCTATCGCAGTAGTCATGACATTCAGTAGTTCTATAGTTCGATATCGAGTTAGTGGACATCGATTTGTGGATAGTTGACTGTTCTTCATCTATGTTGCCAAAATCGAGACCTTTTTCGATGTGTCACAATTAAGTACTAATATGGCTTGGCGTTGAAAATCAATACTCTCTTGAGTGAATCCTGTTGAAAAGCTATTGAAAAATTCGTGGAAGTGAGGAGGATTTCTCGGTTTCCAACAAAGCGAGAATCACGTCAACATATTCCTATCCATCCCCTAATTGACCTTGAATTGGACACGGCCGGTGGTGTTTTTTCCTTGGTTTGTTTTCCGTCGATCTTGTTTTCCGTATTGAGCACCGATGCTACCGACGCCAGGGAGGCAGCTCCCACACCTGGACCCTACCTATCGACCCATCAATTCATGAACCGGGGACCAACGGCTTTACTTCCCTTCCGAAGGAAGGCGTGATCAGAGATGTTATGTCTCAGAACATCCCGGTGGCGCCGACTGGGATTGAAACCAGGCCTGCTGGGGCGAGAGGTAATCACGCTTACCACTACACCACTGGCGCCGCTGAGGTGGTGTTATTGCCTATCGTAAAGAATGAGGTCACCAGTGTTACACATTGCAGATGCATTTGTTGCTTCTCTGTGTAATACAGGTGTTCTGGTAATAAGTGAGTAGTAACCACGAGCAGTTAATCATTTTCATGCTCAGGGATGGAAAATCATTTACATGCATTTGCCTCTAACTCTTTTCATCAACAGAATACAGTTAAATGATGTATAAAGCTTTTGTAGCTTTTGATAATAACTACAACTTTTGTTAACAACTAAAATATGAACCTCTTATGCATGATGAAATAGAGCTGGCAGAACATGTTATTGTTTTTCAGTGAATGCAATTTACATTTACTGAAAAACAAAGGTTGGTTCTAATCGCTCTGATTCATCATGCATAAGAGATACAGATTTGATTTGTTTACAAAAGATGTAGCTAACATAAAAACCTATAAAAGCTTTAATCACTTTATTACTGATGAAAAAAGTTAGAGGCAAATGAATGTAAATGAATGCAAGAAATGAATGTAAATGATTTTCCATCCCTGTTCATGCTAAATTATGTCTATACAATCTGAAGTGAATCAGTACTTTATGATGCTTTTCTGCAGTTATTCAGTACTTTTCAAACTAAATCCGGGATTTTCTTTAAGTATTTCAGTACTTTCAGAAGAGATTTCATTTTTATTTTAAATTGTGCTCCCCAAAGTGATTTCAATTCTTCTGAAGTGATTAAATATTTTATTATGGTATTCTGTGATTCTGTTATTACAAAGTGATTGCAAACTTGAGAGAATTAATACAGTACTTTTCGAAGTTTTGTGAAGCGATTCAGACCTTTCCGAAATTATTCAGTTCTTACGGAAGCGAATACAAACTTTCTGGAACGATTCATTGTTTTCCAAAGAAATTTAGAAATTGTATTAAGTCATTTCATACTATGCCAAGAATTTTTGAGCTTTTCTAAAGTGATTAAGTACTTTCAGAAGAGATTTTAAACTTTTAACAAGTGATTCAGTTCATTCCGAAGTGATTCAGTACTTTCGTAAGTGATTACAAATTATCTGGAATGATTCAGAACCTTTCAGAGTGATTCCAAACATTCCTGAGTAATTTTTTTCTGAAGTGATTCAGTACTTCCGAAATGATTCCGAATGTTCCTGAAGTGATTCAGTGCATTCGTATTTTTGAAGTGATTTCGTTCTTGCAGAAATGATTGCAAACTTTCTGGGATGATTCAGTACTTTCCAATGTGAATCCGAAATTATCTGAAGTGATTTAATACTATCCGAAGAGATTCCGAGTTTTTCTGAAGTAATTTAGTACTTTCTGAAGTGGTTTCCCATGGTCGAAACGTTGGGAAGATTAAATCGTAGTCGTTAGAGTGAAAGTAAGACTGAGCATGAGCATGAGCATGATTGACCGCCCACGGTTGCTACTCTGTTATTTCCAGACCAGCTGTAATTACACAGAGAACCAATAGACGATGGTTGGGGCTAGCAATCATCCTCAATGTGTAAAAACTGGTGATCTCGAATTAGGCAATACCAGCGCCAGCCGCGCCTGAACGCAGGTCAAGAAAGGAATGGGTAGGAATGTGTTGACGTGACACTCGCTTTGATGGAAGCCGATGAGTCCTCTGCACTTCCACGAAGAATCACAGGGATGTTGGGTAAGAGGGTTGGGTTTGCAGCAGGGTTCGTTTTGGTAAACGATAAGCTGAATTGATGTCCTAACGATCGTATAACGCGAAGGAGCTTGGGATTGATTGGTCTTCTGCTCAGTAAGCAAAAACGTTTGCCACTAGGCAGACGAGCTTCTTTTTAATCATTGACGAATCTTGAATGTGGATGGGCTTGAGATGTTCTGCTTAGTAAGCAAAAACGGTTGCTCTAAGGCCACCGAACCTCTCATATGACATTATAGCGTTACTCATGTTTTTATAACTATTCAAAACCGGCACCAACGACAACGAAAAGTTTTACAAAATACACGATAAACAAGCGATCTTACCATGCATTTTTAATATGAAAGGATCTGGGACCGCGTTTTTCTCCTCAGTAAGCAAGCCACTGCAACCGACGATCTTTGAAATCCTAAAACTAAAAGCTACGAAAGAGTACTTAGGCCTTCATTAAGATCCACTTTCACGTGACGTTCAATGTTTCGATTTTCTCTTTACGCATGGTACAGACAATCATAACAAGCTATGACCGACGTGACGATTGTTTAAGACCTGGTTAAACAAGCTATTCCAATGAAATTACGTTCTCGAATTTCACTTGGAATTTAACGAACAACAGAAATACGCGATAATTCATATTTTCAGCGGTTGCATTTTAACCTCCTGCTATTACACTATTTATATACTGTTCGAATATAGGATCACATCTTATTTTTAATATATTTACCAGTCAAATTCCTTTTTGACGTAATCACCTTTCGATCAAAATAGTTTTCAAAGCTACTTAAGTCACCCGATTTCTATGGAGATGCCGTTTGTCTTAAGTTACAGCGCAGAGAAACCCATGAAAAGTGTACGTTCGTCGTTACACTTTCTCATTATTAAAGTGAATAAATCGAACTGTTTGTTGCTAAGATGATTTCGGTTGTCCTAAAATGATGAATGGCCTGCACGTAAGGAGACGTGATTGATAATTCTCCCGAATATCCTGGTAAATACACTCTGACTTAAGTATCCAGAGTGAAAGTAAGACTGAGAAAGTTGTTAAACCAAGCGTCAAACCATAAACTGTTGATACTATACCGTCGCTGTGATTGCAATTTAATTATTTCTAATCGGCCATTGCATGTCTTTAATCGCTGCCTGTCACTTCCATGCAAATTCAAATGCTTTAGAAGTGACTTTCTTAAAAATGTTTCTTAAGTAATAGACACACATAACAAATTCAACCTTCATCAAAAACAAAGCCAAATCATGCCAATCACTATAAACACCACATTTTCACCAAGCACTGGATGTCTCTGACCATTGTGCGCCATTAGCGTTGCACAACCACCTTGAACAATAACCAAATTTTCTCAGCTCATTATACGGCGTACCCAAATTGCACCCTCTTCGTTGTCACATTTCACGCTTCACCCTTTAGCGGATCAGATAAAGACAAAACGCTGGGCACTGCGAGTGAATCAGGAAAATTAAGTTTTTATCTATGTAATTGGTGACAACGAGAAAGTTCGAGGCCTCCAAAAATGGGTATGCGATTTTGCTTCGTTCAATTTGTTTGGTCGAAAAACATGGGAAATGTTCGTGCTTTACTATCAACGTGTGACCATCTGCCAGTCAGTGGCTTGGCCTTAGGTAGTTTATCTCGGAGGTGGGTGGCCGAGGGGGCTAGTTGGAAGTTAATTCACCTTCTGCTCGTTATGTACTGTATTGAATATTTTTCGGATGATGAAAACAGCGGTCAATAACCTGCAGTTGTATTGGAAACTTTTCGCACAGATATCAATTTCCGAACCGTATCCAAGTATAACGCGCTTAAAATTATCCACCTTCACCAGCTTCAACGTGGAGTAGAGGCAAACCCGTAATGATAGTTCATCTTGTTTCACGATCCACGAGATTATCGCAAAAAATTACCCTGCACAATAGCGTCCGACAAACCCGCCTTCATCAACCACAGTCTATAATCGTTCTCCTTTGATTTCCACAGATTTCTAGCCTTGATGATCCAGGATGCTGACGACGGTAGCGCTCATACTGGTCACGTCCATACTGCGGACGGCCGCCCAAAATCCCTTCCCAAATGACCCGGCAGCGAAGCCGGATCGAACGATTCTTCTGCCGACCGTTCCACCGGATGAGGTAGCTTTGGCGTGCTTTTGCAGTTCTGAAACCTAAATTGCTTTCGAAACAATTCCAGTTATTCACCGTGATAAATGCGCAGTCTCCAGCACCTACGATGGGACCACTTTTGATGGATGGCGTTCACTATGAACATTCGATACCGCTGGGTCCTCACAGCAACTACTACGTGTACTACTCGGACAATGTTCGGAATTCACATCAGCAGCAGCAGCAACAGCAGCAGCAGCAACAGCAGCAGCAACAGCAACAGCAGCAGCAGCAACAACAGCAACAACAGCAGCAGCAACAGCAGCAGCAGCAACAGCAGCAGCAGCAGCAGCAGCAGCAACAGCAGCAGCAGCAGCAACAGCAGCAACAGCAACAGCAGCAACAACAGCAGCAGCAACAGCAACAGCAGCAGCAACAGCAGCAGCAGCAGCAACAGCAGCAACAGCAGCAGCAGCAACAGCAGCAACAACATCAACTTTTTTATCAGCCTCTCGTTGGGTAACTTTATTAGAATAGTATAAGATTGAACAACGTGTAAAATGGTTCTAGTTATCCATGTTCAATGTTCAATTTTAAATGGTCAACGAATTGACTTATGGTACCTAAGCTCACGCCAATTACTAATACAGGACTTTCCCGTTTCAGCAGTTACTCCAACGAACAGTCTAGTCAGATAATGTTTAACCCCAACTCCATACCGGTGCAGCTAGTGACGCTAGTGCAACCGACGATCGAAGCCCCGGTCCAACAGGAGAATGCTACTGCTGCGCGACAACCCTCGCCGTATGTGAATATAAACGAGGAGGGCATCCACAAGCTGGTGACATCCACGCAGAACCTGGTAACGAACGAAGATGTCGTGAGTATCAACAATGCCGAGGAAGAGGAGCCACCGTCGGAGAACGTTCAAGCGGATAAGAAGGAACAGAAAGCATCGGACAGCGAACCGAGTGAGAGTTCCAAGAAGGAACACAGACTCAAGGATAATTTAGCTGTCCCGTCCTTCGACAATCCGATCATCGTGGGAGATATGCCTGAGGGAGCTCAAAGAAACCATCGGTCGGGTGGTAAATCAGATAATTTCTACAAACAGATCAATGTGGAAATTCTCGGAGAAGCTGACGATCACAACAAGGGACAGTTCTTGAAGGAGACTACCTATCGAACCAATCAGGTGACTTCAGAGCCGTGTGACGATGATGTGAAGTATGGTCCGGTTGAGATCAAGCATGAAGTCACCACGATTCGACCGATTACTATATCCACCAAGGCTCGCGGATCGACCGCAACGAGGTTGAGTACACGTTTTCGAACGACTTCAGCCAGCGTCCCTTCGTCAACTGCACGCTACACCGCCAAAGAACCAATCACTGTAACTGCAAAACCTGTTCCACAAAAGTACTTGGCCCCAATTCAGGCAGGACTACGGCTCTCTAACTCTGGTAAGAACATTGATGACTGCGTTGACGAGAAAGGTTCCAAGACTATCGTCGAGGTTCAGAAGAGCGTCAACATCAAGAATCTCCTGATTGGCCCAGAGCCATCTCAACCACAACGACAGCGTGAGTTTGGTGCAAGAACCACAATAGTTCAGCAACCAATCATCGTCGAGAAGCCCGTTGATCGGATTGTCAAACAGAACATCTACATCGAGAAACCAGTTGATCGCTATGTTCCACAACCAGTTTACATCGAGAAACCAGTCCCGCAACCGGTTGATCGAATTGTAGAAAAGCAAGTCCCCGTACCTTATCCAGTGGAAAAGATCGTTGAGAAACATGTTCCAACACCTGTCCACGTCCCGTACCCCGTCGAGAAACAGGTTCCAGTTCATCATTACGTCGATCGTCCCGTTCCTCATCATGTACCGTTTCCCGTTACAGTGGAAAAGATAGTCGAGAAGCCTGTTACTGTTGAAAAGGTCGTCACTAAAGAAGTCCAGGTGCCCTACCCGGTGACACAGATCGTCGAAAAATTTGTTGATCGCCCTTTCCCGGTAGAAAAGGTCGTCACCAAAGAGGTTCAGGTTCCCTATCCCGTTACCCATATTGTTAATCGGCCTTACCCGGTTGAAGTGCAGGTAGAGAAGATCGTCGAAAAGATCGTTGATCGCCCCGTGGAAACGGTTGTCGAGAAACACGTTGAAGTTCCCGTACCCGTAACGGTCGAAAAGGTCGTCGAAAAATTCATAGATCGTCCGGTTCCCTATCCAGTTCAAGTCCCTGTCGAAGTCCAGGTCCAGGTCCCCGTTCACTACCCGGTAGAAGTCCCAGTAGGTGTCCCCATTCCGTACCCCGTCGAAAAACTCATCCCTGTTACCGTCCATGAACCCAAACCAACGCACGCCATCATCAAAACCACGCACCACGAAAAACTCTTTGACTTTCACAAATTCTTCGGTGGGAAAAAGAAACATTACACGGAGCACTATATCCTAAAAGCACCGCCACTACCTAAGCCTCCAGTTGTTGAAGCCCCTGGGAAGCATTACTACTTCCACAGCCAATACCCCAAGAACGATCTTCACTTTGGAGCATCGATCGCTTCACCGTCCTACGTGGACGTCGGCCAGATCAACGTCCTTCCGCATCACTTCCCCGAAAAGCCCAAACATATCTACGGTGTCCCACTGACCGGAGATGTCTACAACGGTAAATCATCGTACCATTTCAACCCTTATCTGCCCTACCCGCTAATCGATCAATCGCACTTTGTAGGCAAATTTACCTACCAAGCAGCTCCGCTACCGCCACAGCATCATCACTACCACCAGCCACCGCAGCCTCAGCTTCTGCCCGGAATCTACAAGGACGACTATATTGGGCCTACGCCCCTGCTGGAGGACCACTGGGCTGTCAAGAGTGACGTCAAGTTCCGCCGGAGTCCCGCGTATGGCAAGAGCCTGCGGATCGAGTACGGGGGTTTCAAGCCACCGCTAGTGCCATCGCTGGAGATCGACGAGAATGGGATTCCGCTGAACAAGGAACATAACGCGAACTGAGATCGATTCCGGGAAGGCGAATCGTGTGCGTAGACTGAAATAGTTGATTTTTGTTTTTCGTAACTGTCTAGCCTTAGGAGTAGTTCTAGTTCTGCCGATGATGCTACTGGAGACTCTTCGGTTGTAGGATTATAGGTTAGAATCAGTCGGATGGATATAAACACAAACACCCAAACGCCAACAAAGTATAGATCAAAGCTCGTTCTGTAAGGTTTAGAAGAATAGCATCGAGTAGGGATAAGTAATTTATTGTTACACTTATGCACCTAAGTGATAGGGATAAGAGGACGTTGAATGAATAAATAAATAAATAAAATGTATACTTGAAGCTGGCGCCAGTTATTTGATCCGATATCCTGAATAGTTAATAAATATGAACAGTGAGGAAAATTCAATCTCTGTTTCCATGTTTTCATACATAGATATTTGCAAAAGGAGGGATTCCAGACAAATTCGCAAATTAGTTTTGGTATTTTTTTATTTGTTGAATTTTTGCAGAAACTTTTCTTATGACCATAAATGCCATTTTGCATGTTCAGATCGCCATTTTAAATCGAGCCTTAATTTTGAAAAGGACGTATAGAAAAATATTGAGCTTATTTTCAGAAAACTGTTACTCGAAAATGTTTGTTCAATCATTTTTGTACCTTGGGTAGAGAACATCGCTTTTGATTGAATTTAAAATATAAACTTAAAAATCGTTTTTCCCAACAATGGGGACGACTCTGGCGTAGTGGTTAACATCCGTACCTCTCACGCCATAGTTACGAGTTGAAATCTCACCCCGGACAAGTCACGAATGATCCAAGAGTGTTAAAGTAAATATAAAAAAAAAAAAAAGTTTTTCTCAAAAACATTTTTTTTAATACAGAGAGAGAGAAGGATTAGTAATTTCCATTTAACACCACTACCTTATTTGCTGATCCTTGACAGATACATATTGCGTATTTCGTCTGCTATGTGTAGGGTTCGGACTTGATTTAAAACAACTATTTATTAAATTGATACACTGTAGTTGAAGATGCTAATTTCAAATAACAGACTGTAGTGGTAATTTTTATACGATAGATGGAGTAGATGAAAGCATAGAGTTGATAGTTCCGTTAGAGTACGGCAGTGTGAAGATTGTATATAGATATTAGACAAGCGAGCTAGGACAACTTTTAAGGAAGGTACAAATCGGTTTTTTCATCTCTCTTTACCAAACTCCCCCTTTGGAGAGGGATGGTGAGGGGTGTCCCCCCCGCCACCACTACAGTCTGTTATTTGAAATTAGCATCTTCAACTATGTAAATCGTTGACTTCACGTAGAAGTAATACTAAAAACATATTGTTGGATAATTCCCCGTTTTGCACTACGTGCGCACCCGCGAATAGCTAGTTCGGATTAACACCGGTGTGATACGATCACTAATTAATGATTTTATTATTCTACGAAAGTGGACTGTATTTAAACAACGCGATCGAACTGAATCGATACCGGTACCGTCGGCGGTCGGGAGCTAACTGGCTATTCTCCTTTTTCTATTTGCAAGTGATGCTGCGAGAGCACATCACTGATAGCCTATCGTGCCTATCTCTCGTTTAGGTACATGCAGACGATCGTGGTCACTCATTTTTCCTGGATTCCCTAATCTACAGTGATGCACACAATTATGTTTCCTAATTTCCCTAACATACCGGCCGCCTTGAGTTCACTCAAAACGAAAACATTTCAAAATATAACTATAACTACAAAAGATAAATTCAAATATATACACAGATCCTCTCTATCTCCTTCAACAACCTCGTGGAAGTCGTATCTCTTCGCGATCGGTGACTGGCCTTGACCGTCCGTCAAGCCAAACCAAACGCTGACGATACTCCTAACTCAATCCATAGATTCCGATGTTGGAAACTTTACTGACTTCGTATGACTCCCAACCATACGCCTCTAGCGCACATGCTTCCGCTGCCGGTGGAACGAACATGCTGGCCTCTGTCGGTGGAATTTACCCTCGTTTGCTATTGGAGAATAAGACGGCTTGATTCCGAAACAAATTCGTTATTGGACAGACATAACTTAACTGTCGCCCCCTGGCGATAACGGACGAACTCTCCATTGTTGCCAAAGTTTGCCCTAATGGGGGCGTAAATTGCTCAGCGGAAGTTGTGGTCGTAGAAGATCAGAAGTTATCTCAGAGGATTTCTGTTGAAGAGAAAACCCGATTGGGCTCCGAACAACTTGTTAAGCTTGGAAAACGTAACTTTTAGTGCGGCCCCTGGCGATAACGGCTGAAAGCGCCGTCAGCTGCCAATGTGCCCCTACTGGGGCCATACTTATCTGAGTTTTCCCGATGTTGTTGTCGATCCATGGGAGAATACATCTCTACCGACCGTCGATTGTTGAAGTGTTGGAGATGATCCTGGAGGAAGGGAATTCGATTGACTTCCGAAATGCTACTTATTTCTAATAACGTAACTTATACTGCGGCCCCTGGCATAAAACGACATGGACTGTCGGTTACCGCCAAATTTGCCCCATATGGCGCCATACTTAGCTGTGTTGATCTTCAGTGATCTACGATGCCGCAAGGTATCAGAGGTTGATCCGTATTATGGTTGATTGCACACGGATGAACGAAGGAACGGATGATCTCTCCAGCCAAGCATATGAGCAGCAGATTATGACTGTCGAGGGAGAACAGATCAGTATGTTCCCGGATACACAGAATATATAATACGTAACTTATAGGTTGCCCCCTGGCAACAGCGGCGGGGTTACACCGCAAGGTGCCAAAAGTGCCCCAACGGGGGCGATAATACTTATTGTTGTGCTGGATCTACTGCGATTCCTCGACATCCAGTTGATTATCTCGGATGGGAAGAATACATATGTTCGAAATAGCCCGGCGATAAGAGCCATCCTTCGTACGAACGGTGACAACTCTCACGTTCCCGTTTGGCCCTGGGTGAGTCTCCATGACGCGTCCCAGCTTCCACTTGAGAGGTGGAATGTTGTCCTCCTTCAAAAGAACCATTGTTCCAACGTTCAAATTATTTCTTTGCCTTGTCCATTTGTTGCGACTCTGCAGAGTTGACAAGTAGTCCGTTGACCAGCGCTTCCAAATCAGTTGACTGTAGTTCTGAACACGTTGCCATCTATTGAGCCTATTCTCTGGTAGATCATGGAGACTTGGTTCGGGTGCTGCGGTGAGTGGGCGTTGGATCAAGAAATGCCCGGGAGTCAATGCTTCCAAGTCACCGGAGTCATTACTGAGAGGTGTCAGCGGTCTCGAATTTAGACATGCTTCAATCTGCGTCACAACGGTATGCAGTTCATCATACTTCAGCATTCTGTTGCCGATTACTCTCCTCATGTGCCCTTTCAGCGATTTGACTGCGGCTTCCCACAAGCCACCAAAGTTGGGTGATCTGGCAGGGATGAATTTGAATTCGATCGAATCTTGAGCAGCCTCCATTGACACCTTTTCTTGGAACTGTTGTTGACGAAACATTCGATGCAATTCACGCAGTTCTCTTTGTGCTCCCACGAAATTGGAGGCGTTGTCGCAGAGTATCAACTCCGGTCTTCCGCGTCTGGCAACAAATCTCCGAAGAGCAGCAAGAAATGCCTCGGTGGTGAGGTCCATCACGACCTCAATGTGGACGGCTTTGCAGACTAAGCAAACGAACAAACAGAGATAGCATTTCACCGGAGCGCTCTTCCGGGTGACAGGCTGCAGTTCGAATGGTCCACAATAATCGATACCCACTCGTTGGAAAGCAGGAGCTGGTGATACTCGTTCCAACGGAAGATCTCCCATCAACTGATCATGGACGCGTGGTTTCACCCTGAAACACTTTACGCACTCGTGCATTACCTTCCTGGCTAAGTTTCTGACGCTCAACGGCCAAAACCTCTCTCGAACACACGATATCATCAACTGCGGTCCTCCGTGCAGCAATCGCCGGTGATAGTCGACCAAGATGAGCTTCGTGAGTGGATGATTGCTATCCAAAATCATCGGATGTTTCCTTCCTCGCGAAACAGGAGCATTTCCGAGCCGGCCGCCAACGCTTCGACGAAGGCCTAACTTCGCCCTTAGCCGCAAGGTTTGATAATTCCAATGGAAAACATTCCGATTGGGCTAGCTGCACTAGGAGAATCAAGGATGAATCATGTTCACCAGCTGTCAGCAATCCAGTTTTCCTATGCAACCGATTTCTTGGTCGGCAGTTGAAGGAAAAACGGCGTATCCAAGCGGTCAGACGAACAAGGTTCAGTAGAGACGAACGTAGCGTGAAAATCTCACTTGGAGGCAGAGTCTGTAGGACTGCTGACACTAGTGGTCTCTCCTCCAGGATTACCGAATCGAACTGCTGCTCTCGAACCTGCGCGTTTACAGGCCAGTACTGGGTTTCCTTTTTCAGCCATTCTGGACCATTCCACCACAGAGAATTGCTCGTTATCTGAGCTGGAGTGGCTCCTCTCGAAATTATGTCAGCGGGATTCTCGATTCCCGGAACGTGGTTCCAGATTCCACCCTTTGTCACATGTTGTATCTCTGATACACGATTGGCCACAAAGACCTGCCATCTAGACGGGTGTGACGAAATCCAGAATTTTACAATTGTAGAATCGGTCCAGAAGAATGATTTGGCTGCTATCATCATGCTGGTGGAGACAGACTCATACAGGTGCGCTAACAGTAGCGCAGCAGATAACTCCAACCGAGGTGTGGATTGCTTCTTCTTCCTTTTACTAAGGTCCTCTAACGGCGCAACCTTTGATTTGGCCATCAGTAGGTTGATCGTGACTTCTCCGTCCCGGTTCACACATCGTAAGTATATCGCGGCACCGTATGCTTTATCACTTGCATCGCTGAATCCGTGGAATTCACATGTGATTACATCTCTTCCGAACCTGATCCATCGAGGAACAGACACAGCGTCCAACTCGCAAAGATTGGTTCTGAACTCCAACCATTGTGACTGAAGCTCATCACTTAGTGGTTCATCCCAGGAGTACTTCGCCTTCCAAAGCTCTTGAAGAAATAGTTTTCCTTGGAC